ATTATATTTTTATTTTCAAGAGTTTTACAAAACTACTTCAGGGTAAAACTGCAAATCCATAAGACACTCAGACATCAACAAAAGAGGTATATGTGGGTCTTCTGCTGTCATGGGCAACTTTCAAGACAGCTCTCCATGATTCTGCTGATGTTGATTCTGCTGACGTTGATGTCTTGTGTACTGGCCTTCTCCCTCAAGTGCAGGGTAGACCTCCTACATTGATTCAGAAGAGTGGAATCAATTAAGAACATGGATGTCACTTCTGAGGTTAGGTTAGAAAAAGACAGTTTCCCCTTGCTCACCTCTCTTGACCAACCTGATAGAGCCAAATGTGGCAAGCTGTCCTACAGAGACCATGTGGCAAGAATTGGGGGAGAACTCTAGCCAACAGCCGGCAAAGAACCAGGACCAAACTTTGCAGGAATTCAAATCCTGATAATGACTACAGTAAGAACTCAAAAGTGGATTCTCCCTCAGTGGAGACTTGAGATGACTGTAGCTACAGCAAACCAATGACTTCAGTCTTATGAGAGACCCTTGACACAAAGAGTAAGTAAGGTAGACTTGGAGCTCTGCATGCCCAGAAACCGTGGGATGACAAATGTCTGTTGTTTTAAGCTTCTAAATAATTACTTCATCATCTTAATTACAATAATGAAGCACAATAAAAGGAAGTTTACTTATCTTGTTTTACAAGGGAAAGAGAAATGGAGATGATAATAACATATGTTATCAAGTTTTCTTTAAATAAGAAATTTATAAATTGCTACCTAAGGAAAATTTTAGGGTCGAGGTATTTTAATAATTAAAGCAATGAGGACCACATAAAATTCTATCATTATGAAGACAAGATGGGATCCCAAAATCAGCAACTTATCCCACCCAAGGGGTTTTCTTTTCCATTGCTAATAAACTAGGATCAAATATATATAGATTTTTTTTTCAACAATTATTGGGGGGGAGGTCATAAGTAATTTACAGAGTTGCATTTTATACAACTGCATTTGATAAAAATGAAAGTCAATTTTAAAATTTGTTTTTCAAAACACTTTTTAGACATTTATCAAAAAAAAGTTACTAAGCCTTTATTGTAGACCAAAGGGCTACTGTGATAATTACAGAATGTAATAACTTCCAGAATCCATCAAAGATTAAAAAAAAAAAAAGAATATACTTCAGACAAAAGGCAGAAATATGTTTATAGTATTTACAGTAAAATCAAAATATACAAAAGCTAAGCCATCAAATATCACTGATCATTCTTCTCTGGCAGACAATTCAAATCAATAAGTGCATATTGGCTTGGTTAAAAACTGAAAGTTTAAGCATTAAGCAAGTGTACAGAAAATAAAAATTAAGAGAAAAACCCTACTAATATCCTAGCAATAATTTCAAAACAGCAGTTTGTTACTGTTTTTTCTTATTTACAAAAATCATAAATATATAGAAAGTTAAATTAGCACTACTGTTATTACAGTCACAGAGGATTTAAGAATTCATGGGTAATCTTTGTAGAACATCATGAAACAGAACTGTCCACTGCTTATAATAATGCCAGAGCTATTTTCATTTGTCACAGGTTTAAAAAAAAAAATTCAAGTACTTTAGCATAGCAAAGCAGATCACCTCTGTCCCCTGCCCAACTTTCTAATCCTTTTGTTACCATTGAAACCAAGAGAAAGCCTGCATAAAACTCTCTAGCTTCACTTGCTTTTATTACCAATTTAGAGGTCACACTGCTAAGCAATATATTCCCATTAGCTCTCTATAGATAACTGACCAGGCTCACAATGGCAACAGTTACCTAAGTTGTTTTTCAAAACTTGGATGCAGCTCCAATGGGTTGAAACCACTCATCCTTCCCTTGGACCTATACAAGTACCTAAGAGGTCAACTTTTGACATTAGAGGGCCAAAACTCTACCCTCAGAGCATTCCAACTCCGCCATTTTTTGAACATGTATCCTATGAAGAGCCATGAACTTGATTAAGCATACATAGACCACTGATTATTTCACTATACCCTACCTCTAATAAGTTTTCCCCAAACCTCAGACCACTCTCTTCTTTATCTTCCTATCCTAGGGAGATGCTTCACTTCCTTGGCTGCCCGGTGAATCACCTCTCTTTTGCAAAACTCTTCCTGCAATGATTAGGTATATTGCATGGCCTGGTTCAGTAACCAAAACTAAGCTATAACCAAATATTAGTTATTGCCAGAATCCACTATTATTCTACACATCTCTATACCTTTATGCATCTATTTACATTTCTAGAGCAGAATACCTCCATTTTTTCATTATTAATAGCTGCAAATGGCTCCACTTTGCTATCACCTAATAGCTGCAAATGTCTCCACTTTGCTATCACCACTTGCTCTGGGATGCTGCCCATACAGTCTCTATCCTTTACAGCTCTTGTCTGCATTAGGCACTGCACTTCTGTGCTCTTCTGTATTGATCTCTGTCAATCTCACATTACATTCACAGACATATTATCTGAAAAGTTTGACCATTCACAAAATTAACTTAACTTGACCCAAAATTTGGGAGACTCAGATTATTGGCTATTGTACTAAGGTATCATATGAAACACATTCTACTAGATTGGTGAGCAAGATGAAGTCAGCCAGTGAGGGTCACAACTAAGAACCCAGGAGTTGCAGTTTAACAAAACTTTTCTTTTTTTCTTGCTGTATGAATGTTTCTCAAACTTTTTGACTGTGACGTAGTTATGTAAATATTTATAATCAACCACCTAGTACACACTGATGCCCATATACAAAATGCAAAAATATTTAACTGTATAAGATGCACTTTAATTATAAATTATTCTATTTTCTCTACTCCTTTCAAGTTGTCTGAACTTCTGGGATTTCATAATTAACAGGTTATGGCCCAAATTCGGGGAAAAGAAAGTGGGAGAGCATTAAGTATTTTAGTCACTCATGAAGTGAGTAAAACTAAAAATTTTATTAACATAGCTATTAATATTTAACATGGCAATAGGTGCTTCTTAATATGAATATTAAAAATATTAATATTTAAGACAGATGAACTCAATAACAGAAAAAAAATAGCTTTAAAAATGGCTTTAACTATATACATGGAATCATTAAGGATCTAAAGAGGTCAGTTAAGTTTTTCAGTTATATCTGAGCTGTAACCCATATGGTAAAACATATGCTGTGGTAGTGTTCAGGAATTCTGAGATACAGCCTTCTCAGAGCCATTCCTTGAAAGTGCTAAGATTGCTACTTTCAGGTTATTACTGGATTATATATTGGTTACCTCAGGTGATGTGATCAGTAAATATCTGCCATGGGGGTGGGGGGAGTTATGTTTCAAGAGTGATCAGGGAGATCAAAATTAGGAGAAATCAGTCTTCACCCATCTCATTCCACTCACTCAATCAATTGATCTTGACGTAGGTAGAAAAGAGACATTCTCATAATGATAAAATGTGAACCACTATAGCCTTTTTGTACATCTATATGGAAAAATCCATTAGAATTTAAGATGTATGCATCCTTCGTATAATAACCTCACAAGTGGAAATCTCTACCACAGAAATAAAAGTATCAGAACCTAAAGACCAGACCAGGATATTTACTGCAAACCTGTGGGAACAAAGTGAAACAGCCAATGCCCACCAATTGTTACATTAACTTTAATACATTCATATCAGAATATAATTCAGCAATTAAAAATGCTTTACAGATGTAAGTGACCTAATGGAATTTCTACCACGTGTTAGAAAAGCAAAAAAGTGGAATGTGATCTGATATACATATTAATATAGGATTTTAAAAACATGAGAAAATACATAGAAGGAGACTGTTTACAGTTGTGGGGAAGGTAAAGAAAGTTAGTTCCCATCTCCTACATACACATTGTCAAAAACAAATATTCTGTATGCTAGGATCCCTTTCATACATATTTACGTACAAACAGGAAAGACAGACTCAAGACATGCATGAAAAATTTAAATTTCCAGCATATTTTCCAATATAATTTTTTTTAAAGTTTGATGGATAAATGAATGGACTGATTTATTTAAGCTAGAATACAAAGAATATACAAAAAAAAGTTTTTTTTTTTTTCAAAATAGATTTTGGGACAAAGTATTTGGCTTTTCTGCAATATTTGGTACTTTCTCTCTTTCAAACATTCTCTTGCTTTCCATGACACCACACTGATTTACTCCTACTTATTTGAAATCTCCTGGGGCCAATTCCTGATTTGTTTGTCCTTTAGGCTACTATCTGTCCCTCTACAATGTAACAAGGGACTTCTAAGTCAGTTCTCCTGGGTTATAGACAGGCATATCTATAGGCCTTGTGAAAATCTCCAGTTGGAAATGCCACAGATACCTAAAACACGATTATATCCAAAAATAAATTCGTTTCTTTCCTTTTAAATCTGGTTCCTTCTCCTGGGACGCTGTCAGTGAACTGGCATAGTCAGCGAACCAGCTAGCTAGCATGACAGTTCCCCACCACTCTCGGAATTAAGTGAATGTACAAATTCTGGCCTCTGTCTCTCCAAAGACAAGGTGTGGGGAAATTTGAGAAATCAAACTGCAGTTGCAAGACACTTTTAAAAAGTTGCTGTTCTCTCCACAGTGTGAATTTCTCCATTTAATCTTCCAGGCCACTGCAAGAGTCCAGTTTCCATTCTCTTGTGGTGGGGCCCTCCTCCCCTCTGGACCCAACAGCACACCTAAACACAGAACACGGAACCTCGGCTCTTCAGCAAGTCAAGGAGGGGTCGCTCCCGCTCCGTCTGAAGGTAACTTTGCTTTACTGCATTCCCAAATACCCCAAGCAACCTCCAGAGGGACCGCTACAAGCCGATACCCACCTCCCCAGTCCTAAACTCAGGCTCCACTAAATATCTAAGACCCTAAAGTCCCCACTTGGGGACACGAGAGACGCCGCGGGTGGCAGCGCCGGTTGCACATCCTCACATGACCACCTTCTCCAGTTCTCCCAGGCCTTACCTGGGATCCGGCACCTGTCTGTAAACCGGCCGCCGCGGTTTGCCAAAGTCCTTGCCTCCGGGCGAGGCTAACCCTACCCACGAGAAAGAGGCGGTAGGAAAGCGTCCCACCGCAGGACACGCAGGAAGCTGCCATGTTGCCTGTAGGAGACCCCGGCAGGAGGGGCCAGGGGCGGGGCCTGGCGACTGCGCAGGCGCGGACGGGCGCCGGGTTCCCCGGCTATCGCGAGGAGGAGCTTAACCGGCATTTGCTGCGGGGGCGTGTCCTGCGGCCCGAGACGGCTCGCGGTTGATTGGGTGCATGAGCCCGCGGGGCGTGTCTGACTCCACCCCCTGGGCGGTGTCGACCCCTTCGTGGGAGGGGCTAGTAGATGTTTACTTTGGCCCCTTTGCCTCTTCAGGTGCTTAAGTCCAGGGGCTCTCCTGTTCTTTTTGGTACTGACTTCCGCGTGACAATTCAATCAGTCTTTCGTCCCAGGCCCATTGCTGCTCCTCGAGCTGGGTCTCCCTGCACCTCGCGTTTAGGCACCCTTTGTAGCTGCCGAACCTGCCTTCTTTCGGTGGGAGTTCATTCTCCAGCACCCAGGGGCCGCACCGCAGCCCTTGCTCACACCAAGTCTTGGTTCCTGTCTGCCTTCCAAGAATGGGCTTTCGGCTCCTAACTTTCCGCATTTTTCAGGATCCAGGTAAAGACCCTTCTCCAGCAACTGCCAAACCAATCTAGGTTCCCTGGCACTCACTCCCACACTGTTATAACACAGACTGAGAGCAAACACTGCCTTAGTCTTTGCAGAGGGTTCCTTATAGCATTGGTACTGAGCCTCAATGAAATCAGGCAGAAGTGAGTAGTTGTCAAATAGAGACGAGTTTGCCTTGCTTTTTAATTGTTTTTTTTTTTTTAAGTTGTAGATGGACACAGTACATTTTATTTATTTATTTTTATGTGATGCTGAGAATCGAACCCAGTGCCTCACACGTTCTAGACGAGCACTGTACCACTGAGCCACAACCCCAGCCCATATGCCTTGCTTTTTGAAACTTGTGCGCTTTTGACAGTAACTCCCAGGGTACTTTCTATCAAATACAAATAAAGTGATTTAGTAAACCATTCTAAAAGGACTTCCAAATATCTAGATTTGAAGGAGCAGTAAAATTAAAACATACACATTCACAGAAAGTCTGAAATCATATAAAGTGGTCCAGAAAATACATGCCATCTACTTATAAGTATCATCTCCCAGAGCACAAAAATTTTAACATTAAAAAAGTAGAAGTGGGGTGGCTGGGCTTGTAGCTCAGTGACAGAGCGCTTGCCTACCATGTGTGAGGCACCAGGTTCAATCCTCAGCAGCACCATATAAAAATAAAAAGTATTCTGTCCATCTACAACAAAAAAAAAATTTAAAAAGTAGAAATGGAATAATTTCAGAATAAAGAGCAATCCTTTAAATGTAATACGTTTACTTGTATGAAGAACTCATTCTAGTGTTCTTTTTTTTTATAACCTTTTAACCTAATGAAAATTTCTTTAGCAATTGTCAGAGGTCCATGAACTAACATGTGGGAACCAAGGCTTTATAGCTCACTGAGATAGGTACATTTAAATATCAGTTCCCTACATATTGCAACATTTTTTTAAAAAAAATGAAATGTTAATGGTGGAAATTTAACCAAATAGGAAACACTAAATAAGTATACAAAAGCAGAATTTAAACCATTAAAAAATTGATGTTGGAGCATATAAGAATGTAGTTCTGACTGACATTAGGGTGACGAATTGTGTATTTTCCTTTTATTTTTCTAAAATTTATGTTATAGTCTTTTACTATTATCAGTAAAGTAAATATAGTACATCGTCCACCTCTATGGGCAACTCTTACACTGCTGCCTTGAATTTCTTGTGTAGTCTCAAGTTTGTGAACAAATACATTGTTATAGATTGATGATTTTCTGGTTTACCAGATGTCTAAGACTTGGATTCCTTTCATTTTTCTCTCATTTGTTGAGCCCCTCTTATGTCATAGGCCTAGATCATCATCCTAGGTACCAAAATTCTAATACAATAGGGTCATGCACAATGTGAAATTTGGTTCTAAAGTAATATAAATATCAAGAGAGTCAAAATGTTGGACAAACATCAAGCGTTGTTGAGATGTGGAGTAGGAGGCTCTGTTAGATGCTGCTGGTGTGTAAATTGATAGAATCTTAATGAAATGATCCAACTAGTCAGGGACCTACTAAAATTAAGATGAGCACGCCCAACAATCCATCAACTGCATGCCTAGATATATAACCTGCATATATTCTTATGCACTGCATTAGGAGGCATATATAAGAGGGCCCTAGCTCTCAGCTCCTGGGGAGTAGCAGGTAGGTGGGGGCTGCCCAAAGAAAGAAGAGAGCAATACCAAGGAGAAGGCCAACCCTTTGATGGGGAGGGACAGCACCAGTTACAGGCGACTGAGAAAAATCAGAGCCTTTTCATTCAGTTATTAATCCCAGTCTTTATCAGAAGGTTCTGCTTCCCTGTGTAATGGACAGATAGGAAACCAAACTGAAAAGGAGGAGGAGGGGAGTCTCAGATCCAGTGTGGAGAGTGCTGAGGCCTGGCTTATTACAGCCCCCATAGCAACGTTTTTATAATAACAAAAATAATCTATCTGTTGATAGGAGGATAAATAAGAGAGCACCATATGGTAATGACAACAAGTGGATTGCAACTACGCATATGACTATGGATGAGTTTCACCAGGTGGAGGAAAAAAATAAGACTCCCATATGCATACACAAAATATGACCCTATTCACATAAAGTTCAAAAACACGCAAGACCCAGCAAGATGCATAAGAGTTTAACCACTAGGTAATAAAACCATAAAGAAAAATAAGAGAATGGTAAATAAAAAATTCAGGATAGTAAATACCCCTGAGAGGCAGGGAAGGGAAAACATGAGCAAGCACAGAGGAGGGCAGTTTTCATGCCAGTGTTCTCTATCTGTAGATATCTTGGGATTCATAGATGTTTTATTACTATTCTTGAAACTCTACATATGCATTGTGTCTGCAGTTGGACTTTCTCTCTCTCTCTCTCTCACACACACACACACACACACACACACACAACTTTTACGTGTAACCAGTATACAACATATAAAATAGAGTTGATCTGTTAAAGCAAATGTTCTGAGCTTGAATCCCCCATCCTGTCAACCCCCAGGCCTCTGATGCACCTCTGTAGACTCCCTCTGGCTTTCACTGTCACTTCAATCTCAGCCTAGGGTTCCCAACAATCTGTAACCTGTCACCTGTATCCTATAGCAACAGATCTTGTTTGCTTCCAGCAAGCCAATGCTGGCTCTTTAAGATTTAAGACTTCAGTTCCCATAGTAGAAGTGTAGTAATTTGATCCTTTATGACGTTTATACCATCTCTTTAATGGTATTTTGGGGCTCAGAATTGGTGGAGGAAGTACACAGGTAGAATATTATATTTAGTTTTTACAAAATCTTTACTGCTTTAAAAGAGGTTAAGAAATCACCTTTTAAGTAGAAGGAAAACTATGAGTTTGGTGGTGAAATAATACTGATACAGACTCATCTGGCTGTGGCTGACAAAAGAAGATCCCACTGATGCCCCAATACAAGTATTCTTAAAACCCCATCTTCCTAGTGCTTCCTCCTCCCCTGCCCTCACCCAAATAGTGGAAGAAGGGAGAAAGGCCCCAAATTAAATAAGTTCCCAAAGAAAACGGAAGGGGATAAGTCTCAATCCAACCTCAAATACTTCTGACCACTTATTTTATTAGTCACAGAAGTCAGTTGTTAGGCCTGAGAAGTATACACTTGGCTTCTATATCTGCGGGTTTCATATCCATGGATGAAACCAACTATAGATCAGAAATAGCTTTTTTAAAAATTTCATCTGTATGGAACATGAATATTTTTTTCTGTTATTATTCCTTAATACAGTGCAACAGTTATAGAATTTATATTGTATTATGTATTATAAGTAATCTGGAGATGACTTATAGGATATGGAAGGATGAATACAGGCTGTGTGCAAATACTACATTATTTTATATAAGGGATTTGAGCATCCAGGTGTTTGGGTATCCAAAGCAGGGCCTGGATGCAAAGAGGGATGATCTTACATCTGACATGAAGTATTTATTTTCATCTTCTGTCTCACCCTGACTCACACTGAAAGGGGTGGCAGGCTGTGGGTGGCATGTAAGTTGCCATAATTGTTATTTTTCCCCCAAATTCCTTATACCTCATTTTCTTATTCCTCTCTCTGCTTTATTGCCACCTCTCATCCCTACTCTCTTCTCCTCCAAACCAATGTGTGTATAGCTAAAATACTACATGTCGTCCTCAGAAAATTGATGCCCTCCATCTTTAAAGGATTCCTAGAAAGTGTCCCGGGAGTGGCAGAGCCTTGTGGATCAATATAAAAATCCTTAGCCCAGGAAAAAAATTGTACACATCTACTGGGTTCCACAGATAACTGGGATCAACAGAGAGCATAGGATCAAAGATGACCAAACAGGGTGGTTCGTGAAATCAGAGTTCTCAACCAAGCCCTGCCACGGCCTCACTCTTTGATATTTAATGGTTTGATATTTAGCTGATGGGCTCCCTACATTTCTCATTGGTGTGACCAGTGGGTTCTCAACAATGTGGAGCCTTCGCTGGTTGAATTGAGTTGAATCACGTTCTTCAAAAAGTGGTTAAATTCCAGATGCCATTTACCTCCTAATGTGACCTTACTTGGAAATAGGGTTTTTAGAGAAGCAATCATGTTAAATTGAGGTATTAGGATGTGGCTTAATTCAATATGATGCTAGTCCTTATTTAAAAAATGGAATTTGGAACAGAGGCAGACCCATAGAGAAAACAATATGAAGACACGGGGAGAAGACAGCCATCTGCCAGCTAGGGAAAGCCTACAGCTTATCAGAGGACAGAGGCCCAGAACAGTCTTTCTCACAGCTTTCAAAGAAACCAACCTTGCTGACCCCTTGATCTTGGACTTGCATCCTCTTGAAATGTGAGGCAATAAAGATTTCTGTGGTTTAAACCCCTCAGTTTATGGAACATTTTTACAGCCATTCCAGGAATATACCTAATGTATTGGCTTTCAAATGCCCACCAGCTTTTGGATACT